TCCTCTGTAACCTGTACAGATCCTCTGTAACCTGTACAGATCCTCTGCGTTAGCCGACCAGCGCTTCTTGCTACTATGTAGCACTTACCTCCACATCCACTGATCAAACCCCTTTGTCTTCAATCTCTGCTCCACACCATTCTACTCTCGACTTCCCTGAGATCAACAGCTTCGTTTCCATGTCCAAGTGGGATGGTGCTGTGCTCATCTCCCTGTGTCTGGCTCATTTTACTTAACCTAAAAATCTCCAGTTCGGTCCATCTTGCTGCAAATGACAGGTTTTGTTCTGTTCTGGTTGCAGTTCCCCACTGCCTAGCCTTTCATCCTCCAGTGGAGTGGGTTTATGTAATTTCTCTTGGCTATCAAGAATAGGGCTGGTCAGGCAGTGGAGGCACACACCTTTAATCTCAGCACTCAGGAAGCAGAAGCAGACAGATTTCTGTGAGTTCGAGACGAGCCTGGTCTACAGAGTGAGTTCCAGGACAGGTAGGACTGTTACACAGAGAGACCCGGTCTCAGAAAGGAAAAAACAAAAAACAAAAAACAAAAAAACAAAAATCAAAAACCCTAGGGCGACAGTGAATGTGTAATGTGCCTGTCATTTTTACATACTGGTGTAATTTCCTTTGAGTGTAATTTCCCAGTGGGGGGAAGTTTCATAGGATAGTGTTATTTCTAATTTTTTTGAGGGATCTCAGTGATAGGTTATTTCTCTGCTGCCAAAATGAACCAATTCAGACTAGATTAGATTGTATTAATGGCAGGTTTATTGGGAAACTGCTCTCAGGTGGTCAAGTTCACTGGCCCCAAGGACTAAGTCCAGGGGAGTCGCCATGGGAAAGAGGTGGAGAGGAGAGAGAGAGAAGAGGAGAAGAGAGAGGGAAAGACCAAAATGACTGGATAATATAGGGAAGAGCCTCTGGGGGAAGGGCAGCCTAGCCTCTGGGCAGGCAAGTTGAAGTATGCCAGATAGGGACTGAGGGATGCTGGGAGAACCTGGAAGCCAGGTCTGATTTGGTATGTAAACTATGCACCTCAGTCCCTTGTTCCCGGTCAGAAGCCAGACACTCAGTACACTATCGTGGCTGCTCAGGGCTTGCTCTAGATTCAGTGTAAGTCCGCCATTCTGACTCAGGGACCAGGGAGATGAGTTGCCACTGGCACTATTGCCTGGCTAACACAACTCATGTTTCCATGTGGCGCCCTCTGGTGTTTGTACATAAAATAACTTGCTTACCAGAAGGTGCACCCCAAGGAGGCAAGCAGAAAAGAACTTGGGGCTGGGCTTTATTATTAGCTCCTGGCCGAGAGCACCTAAGAGTCCTATGCCACCTGTTGAGTTGAAAAGAGTACTCTACCCTGCACAGAGCCGAGTGTCCCTTCCTGGGAGCTCCTTTCTTATCCAAAGCCTCCAGGGACACCAAAGCTTTAAGTGACTAAGAAGGAAGGCTAGGTCAAATATAGCCTGGTCTAGTACCTCACTCACTCAAGTGACAGATGTAAGACTGGCTCAGGTGAAGCTTCCAGGACCTTACAGTGATGGGCACAGGGAAGAGATGAGGAAGGGTTTGCCCTGGATTTCTGGACAGGAGTCTCCACAGCCAATGCTAAAATCAGGCCAGTTTCCATACCATGTTACAATGTTCCCAAAGGCAGCGGTACCAATGTGGCTGCTCTGAAGGGCTCAATAACCAGACCTTATCTGAAGTCCCCAACTCCTACGGCTGGCTGGAATCCCAGCACACATAATGTATGTCCTCTTCTTTGGGCTCCTGATGTCCCCAAGTTGGCCCGGCTGCCACCCTCCTACAGGCCACCTCCCCTCATCTCCGTGCCTTCCCTTATCCCTCTTACCAGCGTCTTTATCTTAGATGCTCAGTACAGCTGGCCACGCCCCTTAGGGAGGGGTTTTTGTCTGTTTTTGTTGCTTTGGGGTTTGTTTGTTTGTTTCCTGTTGCAGCTGCCCTAAATGTAAAAGTTGGTTGCTTTCTCATGGCAGTCACCGGACTCAACAGAAGCTGGTGAGCTTTTCTGTTCTTCAGTTTCTAGGCTCCCCTCTTGTATCATTGGGAGACAGGCTCGCGCATGTGGATTGTGCCCTGCTTATCTGAAGTTCTCAGGGAACCAAACCAATTCCCTCAAAGTCACCAGAACCTGGAAAGCAGGCAGCCGGCTCAGAGGTGAGTGTTTTCTTTTTTAATGGCGTTCCTCAGTATGTTAGTTTGGACCTCTCCCCACACTCAATGGGCAAGGAGAACCTGTGGCTGTCCTAGTAAGCAAAGAAAGACCAAACCACACAGGAGCCCATGCCAACATGACACACTAAATATGAAAGGCAGCCAGTTACCAAAACTTGCTCTCCAAACAGATTATACTAACTACCCTAAATTCTTGAGTTTTGGGGGTTCTCATCCTGCCAAGGAGGGAGCTTCTGTGTCCTCTAGCCCTAGCTGGAGGGTTCTTTCAGGGCAATTGGACCGTGAAGGATGTTACAGGGTCCGGATGACCCGACAGTTGCCTATTGGAGCTAGTTTTTCTCCATGAACCTGCAAAGGGCAGACGTTTGGGTAAAAAGTCACACAGCAATGGGTGGTAAAGTACAGCTCACTCACACACAGGGCCAGCTATGGGATTCTGCAGGTGGGGTCTGTGGGGAACAACTCTGTTTCTAGGACTAAGAACTCAAGTCATGGGTGAATGAACTATCTCTCCTAAGTTGTTTCTCCATTCTCCTGTTAGATCCTAGCTTCTCTCTCTGTGTGTAACTAACGTGTATCTAATTCTATATGTCCCCAAGAGATATGGCAAGGGCACACCGTGGAGATGCTACTCTGCCAAGCATCTTGGTCAGCTTCGTCCTCCTGCAACTCCTGGCTTCTGGAAACGGTAGGACAGATACCCCTCCCTTTCTGACCCTAGAAGTACCCAGACAAAACTCAGGACTAAGGGAAACTCTCGAAGAGGAAAATGGGGCACAAGGGGAGCACCTCCTGCATGTGACCTAACCTAGCCCTTCCATTTGCATCTCTAAGGAAAATCAGATTTCCGAGTCCTTGGACCTCCTGACCCACTTCTGGCCATAGTTGGGGAAGACAAAGAGTTGCCCTGCAAACTGTCACTCAATATCAGCGCTGAGGGCATGGAGCTGAGGTGGTACAGGGACAAGCCCTCATCAGCTGTGCATGTGTATAAGAACGGGGAGGATGTGTATGACGAGCAGATGACGGAATATAAGGGAAGGACCTCGTTCAACAGCAGCTATGTGGCCATGGGAGAGGCTGCTGTGAAGATACACAATGTCACTGTGTTTGATAATGGGACTTATCACTGTGTCTTCAAGGAACACACATCCCACAGCCAGGCCACCCTGTGGCTGAAGGTGGCAGGTGAGGGTTGGTGTGGGGGTCTTCTACTCCTCCACTGGGGAGCTTCTCTCAGCCTCAGCCAGGATTCCAGACATTGATCCCCAGAGCCCTGAGTCCTAAGACTGGAGAGGCTTTGCAACACCTGCTTCCAGGCAAAGCTGTTTTCCCACAGGCTCTGTGTATCATGTAGTTCCAAAGAGAAAACTGCCTTCCATCATATCCTTGTACCAGAAAGAGAGCACAGATGTGGGGGAGAGGTCAAGGCATGGAGACAGCTGGGAAGTGGAAAGAAAGAGCCAGAGAGGGAGAGTCAGAAACAGGAAAACAGTGACAGGAGACAGAAATAAAGTGAGGACAAAAGGAAGGCAGGGAACACAAAGAGATAACAAAGAGAAACGGGGAGAAAGACAAGAGTCTGAAACCGCTAGGGATGGGGAAAGTGAGAGAGTGAGAAGACAGACGGTAGGGAGACTGGGGTTGTTTGGGGCTATGGAGAAGTTTTCCTAGATGACAAATCTCAGCTCCTTCCTCGTTCTCATACTTAGTAGCAAGCTTCAGGTTTTTTCCTTAACCCCACCCCCATTTCTCTCTCTGACTCATGGAACCTACTTAACACCTGCAAGACATCCCTTCCCCTCACTAGCAGCAACTGTAGCTGCAGGATCTGAGCTGCTGTCTCTTCCTTCAGGGCGGGGCTCATCCCCCAGAATCCATGTGACTGACACCCAGGACAAAGACATCCGGGCCGAGTGCACCTCAGCAGGCTGGTACCCAGAGCCCAAGGTGGAGTGGCTGGACCTCAAAGGAAAACCGGTGCCTGCTGAGACTCGCTTCTCAGTTACTGCCAGCACTGGCCTTGTGGCTGTGCTATCCATTGTGACTCCGCAGGACAGGGCTGTGGGGGGCCTGACTTGCTCTATCTCCAACCCCCTCCTCCCTGAGAAGGTGACTGAGACTTACCTGCTTGGTGAGTTCAGTTCAAAGACATCAGAACCAGGCCCTGGATTCCAGGGATGTAAGGAGAAGGCTATGCAGACAGAGTCAGAGAAAATCTTCCCTTCAGCCTGGCCAAGAGGATCACAGGGATGTTGGTTTCCAAGACGACGCAGGGATAGGGATGCAGAGAGATCCACTAGGGAAGCAAGAAAGATACACCCTGATACTGGCTTTTCTGTTGCTGTTGTTTTAATAGAGCTTGCTTTTTGGGGTTTTTTGTTTGTTTGTTTGTTTTAAGAGAAATTTTAGTATATGGCAAATTTAATCAGAAAATGCATAGACTTTCTTTTCTTTAAAAAATATTTTTATTTTATGTGTATGAGTGTTTTACTGAGTGTGTGTAAGTACAGTGTGTGTCTGCAGTACCCTTGGAACTGGGGTTACAAATGGAGCCATCATGTGGGTGCTGGAAACGGGACTGGGGTCCTCAGGAAGGGCAGCAGAGCACTTAACCACTGAAATGTCTCTCCAGCCCCTGGATTTTCTATGTACCCCATCTCACAGTCATAACTCTCCCAGTTATGAATGTCCAGAGAGGGAGCATGGCAGGGATGAACAGGCAAGACCCGCCAGGCTCAGCAAGTGTGTAGGGCTCACCAGTGCTGGGTACTCTGGTGTGTGGACACGGGAGAGTGGTTATGTGCTCACCGATACTGCACACTGCCTGCATGTCCACTACACTCCCTCTTCCTACTTAAAAGGTCCTGGAGAACCCGGACCTTTTTTCTTTCTTTCTTTCTTTGTATAGTTTTGCCTTCCTGTGATTCACCTTTGCCTGGTGTCTTAGTTACTGTTCTGCTGCTGCAAGGAGACACAATGACCAAGGCAACTTACAGGAAGTAAGCATTTAGTTGGGGGTTTGCTTACAGTTTCAGAGGGTCAGCCCATTGTCACCATGGCGAGAACCACGGTGGCAGGCAGGCAGACAGGCAGGCAACAAGGCAGGCAGACAGGGAGGCAGGCAGCCAGGCAGGCAGCCAGGCAGCTAGGCAGCTAGGCAGCCAGGCAGCCAGGCAGCCAGGCAGCCAGGCAGCCAGGCAGCCAGGCAGGCAGGCAACCAGGCAGGCAGGCAGGAAGGCAGGCAACCAGGCAGG